ATTATCATTATTATTGTTATCATCATTATTATTATTATTATTATTATTATTATTATTATTGTTATTTTCCTTTAATCAATGCAAATAGGTATATGCTTGTGGATTTTCGAATTCATGTGATTTACGATACCTTGAAAATTGATTGGCGTTGTTCTAAAAGCACTCGTAGTGTTCGATTATTTGGTGATTTTTTACAAAACGTAAAGGTTATTTAATGAGGTTCGTCGATACAAAACTGACATACGTAGTTATTACATGGGTTATTATATTATGTGACGAATAAATGTAGGTACATAAGTAGATTTAGTACCAGTTCCCATTGTTCACTTACAAAAATAAATACAGTCAAAAGAGGTAGGGGGGACCATTTATCATCGAGTCCGGGCTTAAAACACGTTCCGCATAACAAGTATGTTATCACGGAAAAAAAAAATTCAAGATTTAAGCGTACGCCACTCCGCGTTGACGGGACTGTGACACAAATGTAAAAGGTGTATACCCTACGATTTTTTTTTTTTTTTTTTTTTCATCATCGCGTTTACTATCGACGATTTTGACGACTTTATTTGTCTTGCTCCCGCAGGCGCGAAGTTTCACAGTGAAGAGAGGCAGTTTATTTTACAGCATTCATTGTACAGTCACGAGATTTCCTTTGAATCGACACTTTTATTCGTCCGATATAATGTCAAATATAAAAGAAATCTTTTTGTACGGAATACCGGTACAGTATTTATCTCGGTAAAAGCCACGGCACAACGTGACTCAGGCACTGCATTGAATACGCATTAGTCGTGGTATTGAAATTCCTAATGCTAAATAGGACCATTTGCATGCGTAACTGTAATTAAAAGATACGGCAAATGTATATATAGAAACAGCGACACGCTTTCCGTTTTTTTTTTTTTTTTTTTTTTTTTTTTTTTTTTCAATCGTCGAGATATTTCACAATTGATTCCGCGATAGCCGAACGCAGTGGAACTGTGTGCTCAGTTGTAACCAAGGAATGGCCATGCCGGTCTCATTGCGTTTGTTGTATTTTGCTCTATGCGTGGTAGCGATAATGATTATTGCTTTTCTGGAAGAATCGAAGAAAGAAAAAAATGAATGATCCATTGTGGGAATAAAAATCAAGCATTTCAATTGTAAAAGAAGCGCGCAAATTTTTCTTCATTGATAATCCCAATTGGGAAGGTATGCAGATATTTCTACATCTTTTTTTCTTTTCTTTTTTTTCTTTAATTTTCATGAAAAATCTCTAACAAAAATTGATTCTAACGAACTGAATCGGCTAATCTCGCCACCCTCGGGTATCGAGCGCAAGATTAATGAGGATCTATATACGTATATATTGGACTTGATTCAAACGAAACAAAGAGCCCGAATTCAATGCGGTCAATTGACAAGCTTTGGCATACGCGTCTCGTTTCCACGTATTTTGTCACGGGGGAGAAAAAAAAAAAACAATTTTTTGTAACATGTATACGTGCACACAACAAAAAAAAGATCGAGATTATTAACGAGCCGATCGCTCATTTGGTCATATATAACACGATATGTGTATGTATGTATGTACCTGATCGTGAGCCACGAAAATTTCACGGCCGTAAGTTCCATTGGCCGAAAACTTGTAAGCTCAGCGTCTTTTGTCAAACCGTTTCCTTCGATGGCTCTAGTCACGTTTTTACATCAGACACAAGTTAGATCGGACAAATCCCAACGAGCCCGGAATCAGGACTCTCCATGCACGTCGGTGTAACGATACGTGAGAACCAAACCCAATAACGCGTCGAACACAAAGGAGCCGCGCACCGACAGTGTATAACCCAGAAATCGGCAGTAGCTCATCCAAGACCTTCGAGTGAGTATATACGTATACATGTATCGCCGTCGCACTGGAATTTCAGCGAGAAGCACAACGCTCGCATCTGCAGTCCTGTCACATCTTACGTGATATACAATGGAATTCACGCCCATGTATGTGCGTATATACACGCGCGCTTTCTAATGCCGATCGACACGTTCGCTCTTCTATCGCGTCGGCTATGTTTACCGATTTTTCTTGGCTATACGGTTACTTTCGTATTGGTCTTTGGGGACTTGGGAACCGATGGAAGAGCTTTTACTCGTGTATACCTTTTGCGCTGGTGTACAGGTACAGCGATCGGTAACGGGATCGATGGACTCGCCGAACGGTGGAGGTGCGGTGCAGATCGATCGGTAACCCCTACGTATACAATCGTTATGCATCATCGTAACTGATGTTGAATACCGATGCCTACGAACAGTGGCATTTTCATTGGCACTTTCTCGCTGTCGACACTAAATGGATCAATGCGTCGAGGGAGGAGTAGGAGGAGGATCGAAAAATCGCGGGACCACCCAGAGCCCATCGTCGCGCTGTACGACATATAAACGCGCCTCTGTCTTTTATTGATAATGTACTCTTATATGCCTTTTGAATACGTTTTGGCGAGCTTACATTTCTAATCGTGAGATCAGAGTTAAATTGCCGATCCTTCTCGGGTTGATTTTGCGAATGGGTGTGCTATCGACACGACGTGCGTGCAATGCAGATGCATGTAAGCTATTTTTTTTTTTTTTTTTTTTTTTTTTTTCGCAACCGCAGCAGTCGATGAAGATTGCCTTATTTTATACTACCGTGTGTATCTCTGAAGACAATCGTATGCGGAATGAGCGTGAGAAATTTTTTTTTTTTCTTCGATTTTCTTGGAAAATTGCGCAATGTAGCGAGTGATTATTGTTCGGATGAATAAACGAGACGATTACCGTTCGATCGGGATTTCTTTCGTCATTTACTCGGCGGTTACTCGGGCATTCGCTGCGCGTAATTGAAAATGTTATTTCAATTATATTACAGTAGAACTAAAAAAATGAAGCGACAATCTTGTTGACGCGCGTTACGTGAAATCGGATGAATTTGAAAATTACCGATTGAAACAAACGCTGATGTTATCGTCAAACATGTCTGCGGTGTATAAGTATACGTACTTGGGATAAGCGCCAATATATAATCGATGAGGAAACACTTGCCAGCCGGCATCCGTATATCTTGGATAAACACGAGAGACGCCGCACGTGAGCGCGTGGAGAAAAAAAAAAAATTACAGCTTACAAGCGCGAGTTTGCGCGCATTGATCACGCTTTCGTTGAAAACGCGAGGAAAATGTGCGTGTTGCATATATATATATGACTGATAAAGTTCTCTTGTTTTCGTTACATTATCACCGATGGGATTCACAAATGCGAATTAAAAAAAAAAGAGAGAGAGAGGGAGAGAAAGAGACGTGAGGAAGAACCTTCTCAATTCATTTCAGTCGCTATCTTATGTGCACACGTGTGGCCATTGAACAAAAATAATCGTTAATCAAGCAAACTATTGGCAATGAAACAAAAGTAGGTTTGTATGGTGTGAGAAAAAAAAAAACTTTCACTCACCTGGCAGTAAAATTTCGGTGTGTATTTGTAAAATATCGATAACGCGTGGCTCATCGCCACCGTTATGAGGTTGACCGACAGCAGTAACGCCGTAAGGATCTGGTAGCCGCCTACTCTGACCTCCTCGGCCTTCATCTTGTATACAATCTTCGTTAAATTACGCGATGACCAAACAAAGTATGAGTAAAGTTGTATGTATGTAAGGAGTCCAAAACTGTAATGTATTTACGTGTCCGTCACGTTTTTAAATCGCCACCTCCGCGGGGAGAACAATACGACTGCCGCGCATGGGGGATCGGCAGCCTGTCTGTTGCGGATCGGTAACGAGTGCGAGCGACAACAGCTTCGATCCTCGGCTTACCGGCACATTTTGAGCAAATAAACGATTTTTGTCGTATCGGCAAAAAAAAAAAAACAAAAAAAAAACAAAGATCGGTATGCACGAGAAAACTCGGTACACCAGGAGAGGAGCGAGGAGAGTTCACGTGTATAGGTACTACCCCGGCGACGTTGGACTACGCACTGAGAACCGAGAGGACAGAAGCTACCACGCGCGCATTCAGAGTCCGGCAAGCTGCAGGCGAGCCTGTAAGAAAAAAAGAGAGAGAAAGAGAGAGAGAGAGAGAGGAGACACGTCGGGAAGCGCCGGCGTGTGATGATGTACGCGAGCGTGTCCTCCCCTTTTTTTTTCTCTTATATCTTTGCCTCCTCCACCCACACTTGCCCTCTACTGTGCCTATCATCATAAATTATTGTACGCGCATAAGAACGACCGCACTGTGTGCGCTCACCTGCTGGCTCCACAACCGATCGTTACAGCTATTGGGGTATCGTCTCGTGGTGGAGATGAATGTTGTTGTTACCCTTTTTTTTTTTTCCTCCCTCCTCGGTTGTAACACTTTGTAATGGGCCATTACAGCGGTGGCAAACAAAACGGCATTGTTCGACTTTCGTCACCGGGTGGCTTGGTTTTTATGTTCATGGAATTTTTGTTTTTATTTTTCACGTCTCTGCACGTGAGAGAAAAAAATTAAGAAATCTATTTGTTCAATTATTGAGATGTATGTTAATTAACCGATTCATCCTTTACAACTGCTAATTCCATCGGATTCCACTGTCCAAATATACCCCGACTACACGATCACTCGCTCATCGCACTTAAACGGAAGCTGTAACATTAAGTAATCCAAATCACCAGAAATCGACCATGTAAGAGCGCCATCGGCGTCACACTCCTATTTCCGCCAAAGACCGTGTGACCATACACTCATTCCATCCGCAAGCTCTTCCGTCATATACAAAAAATAACAACTAGCCGCGAGAAGTCGTAAATCCAAAGTTTCGCAGAAAACAAATGACGCGCGCGTCCATCCATCTTCTCAATGTTATATAGGCTTAGGTACCCACACACGCGTTGCAAATTGAGAGAAAAAGCTCTTTTCCCTGTACATGTATATATTTTCTTGACTGATCTCTCGAACCATCAGCGAAAAACAAAACAAAAAAAAGCAATGGCACGTGGGATAAGCCTTGTCAGGGATAAATCAACAATTGCGTACATTTGTCATCTCGAAGGTCTATGAACTGCGAAAGCAAATGTTATACCGCGTTAGTAGTTTTTTCGAAAAAATTCGGGTGTATTTTTGGAAATGACGAGCTTACGCCGCTCTCCGGCCGAGTGTTGTTTCTCCTGATGCTCGGTAATGATGCGTGGGTGCGGATGCATTAATTTTGGTTTTATGGAGTGAGTTAGGCGAGTCGGTAAAAGTGAATCACCGCGTTTTTGTTTTTTTTTTTTTTTTTTTTTTTTTTTTTTTTGAGGTTTCCGTGGGATTAATTTTTTATTAAATTTTATCGATACATTTGTGCGGTTGTTGTTATATGTATATTTGCTTTTTAATGCTCCTATATTTCATTAAGTTCGGCAAAAACAATATATTTGTTGTGTCATCTTTCCAAAAATTGAATTTTACATGCAATTCATCTCTTTTTACTTGTTTGACATTTTTACACCACTAATTGCAGTAATGTGAATAACATTAAAATACAAGTGCAAATTCAAATAAAAAAATTGAATCCATGCAGTGTTGTTAAATTAGTACTAGTTAGGAAATGAAAGTCAAACTATACATTAAAAAATTTTTCTAAAACAATAAAATTGGTGATTGGCACACTAACATGGGCTTTTGTTCTCAAATTGAATTTTTTAATGTTACAATTCAACATAAATATATTTAACGGCAGTAAATTTGAGCTTATTATAAATGAAAACTAAATGACGAAAATTCTGCCAGACACAATCTAAGAATTTTATTTTTTAATTTTTTTTTTTTTTTTCATAAGAAACATAAATACTTATACATTAGTCCTGTCATTCGCATTCTTTTGTAGCGTATTTTTACGCGGTCAAACATACCTTTTTACAGCTTCTTCTGTACACGCGTTAAAGTCACCAATAAACAGCGTCAACATTGACCAACACAATCATCATATATTATTATTTATTTCTCTTGAAGCACGACTATTCCACAAGAGTGACAAGAGTTTTTTTTCACGCGGCAAAATTTGTAAAGAGCTATTTTAATACCCACCAGTAATGGAAAAAAAAAAAAAAAAAATTGTTCACTGAATGTACGAGGGTCGTTATACATTACTTAATGTTATTTATGATTTTTTGAAAGCCATTATATGCCGTGATGATATCGACACTAGTAATTAATTTTTTCGTCCTAAATGAACAATGCTTTTTATGAAATATTGTTTTTTTTTACCTGAAATCTTTAGCCACGTAAGTAAAATATATGTAAAAAAAAAAATTAAATAAATAAATAGCTCACTTGCTACACCCCCGCACGCACTGAAAACACAAAACAGCGAGCGACGAATCCAATTGCGTCATTATAGCCACAGCCAATTAAAGCGCGTTTTTTTGCATCTCCCACACACACACCGCGTGCCTCTTCGTGAGTTTGAGAAAGAGGAAAAGGAACTAGGAGGAGGTGGAGTTAGTTGGATGGATGAAATGGTAGGCGCAGATGCGGGGAAAGAGAGAGAAAAAAAAAAAAAAAAAAAGGAGGAAGAGAGGAGCGGAAAGACCGGAAGATGAGAGCGGTCGCGCGGGGCTTCATTGATATTGCCGCTCGCGGACGCACCGGCGAGAGAGGGATGTTAGGTACACGAGAAACAAGGGGCGTTGGCGATGCGAAAACGAAAACCGAGCCACCATACGAAGTAGGTATATAATACTTATTCTACATAGCTCTGGCTCGTATAGTATATAATATTATACGGACGGTCAATGAGAAGATGTGCGCGGGGATATAGGATAGGCCATGTATAGAGAGATAAGTGAAGTGCGTAAGCCGACTGCGAGGTATGTATTTCCTTCGTTTCTGGAACTGTTTGGCTATGCGGTGGACGTTGCGTCCGGTTTTGTCCTTCCTGTCCTCCCCTCCGCCACCGCGCTATGCGCGCATCACTTTTACGGCATCCCCCTCTGTGTGTATACATATTATACATGTACACAACCATTGAAATCCACCACCACGCATCCAAGGTGCGCGACGCGCATTTCGAGTCCTCCTCTCTATATACTCGACAAGTTTTTCGCGGCACTCGCGCAACACGTGCCACGTATGACATTAATCAAGGTGCCGATTGACGTCTGTGGATCGCGAATCGGCGTTTCGTAAGCGCGCGCCCATGCTTACATACCTATACATACTTCACGCGCCGATTTTGCTTCAATGAGCTTCGTGTGTACATAAGGATACATACCGTCGGCACTTGAGACTAATATCTGTGTTTGCGGGTCGTCCTTCTTGTAACGCGTATGTTGATTTGTTTTTACCGATTTATTGATCGTACAATGGTCCGGTGATCGTTGGGGTTTGCAAACATAATTTTCAACGAGGGGAAAACAATGATTTTTCGCCACGGTATAGATCGATCGATCGTTGGCCTAAAAATAATGCGGGCTCCGCGTGCTGGGACCTTCTTCGTATTCATGGGTAGGTATATATGTACAGCACGGATTTAAAACGCGCCAATGCACACATACTTTTATCATATGGTGACGTCAATTGGTTCCTACGACCACGTAAGTATCGAGTTTAATTTCTCATCAGGGATTTTTTTTTTTCCACGCGCTTTTGGCACGTTTGCTATTTCCATCAACAATAAGTGTATTTGTTCACGAGGGGGATGATAAATTTTGCCAACGCAGTAAAACAGTAGAATATACCGTATATAATCGTTGACAGGCTTAGTTACCATTATTACCTTTACAAATTTATACCCAACAGTATTTTATTATTTAGTTACATTATTTATAAAAATTTGCTTTTGTAATAGGTAATATATATATGTTATGTATGTGATACAATGTATTCATCTTATCGTCTCGTGGTGGAGATGAATGTTGTTGTTACCCTTTTTTTTTTTTCCTCCCTCCTCGGTTGTAACACTTTGTAATGGGCCATTACAGCGGTGGCAAACAAAACGGCATTGTTCGACTTTCGTCACCGGGTGGCTTGGTTTTTATGTTCATGGAATTTTTGTTTTTATTTTTCACGTCTCTGCACGTGAGAGAAAAAAATTAAGAAATCTATTTGTTNCCTTAATTTTAATTTAAGCATGGAAAATTTGTTCAAAAAAGTTTAATCGACGCGCTTTTTTCTCCCCATGCAATTTAATCTTTACGAAAGGATCTAAAGGATAATAATAAATTATAACCATAATCATTATTTCAACCACATAACTATTGACAACCATATAACAAATGACTATTGAAATAAACGTCCAAAAAATGGCACCTACATGTGCAGGAAATTATAGATGATGGAGAAAAAAAGTAATATTACAATCGCCAATTGTTTCACACGGCATTTCGACGAAGCGAAAACGCCAAAAGTCCGAGCGCCGCGAGTATAGGTATGCCACACACTGGCAGTTAGAAATAATTATTATCAAAAAATGCTCTCTCGCCGCGTCGGCGTCTCAAATCACACACACGCGGCGGCTGCAACAATTTCCTCTCTCGGCCGACTTGCGCTACTGTGCCTCTTTTCGACGCATCGTGTGGCGCGAGAGAGAAAATTGCTCACCAAGTGCGAATGACGACGAGGATAATGATGCCCATCGCCCAGGTCAAAACGAGCGAGAAAGCTCGTTACGTGCGCCTTTTTGCTACTTCCTTGAATCTTGAATGAAAACACGCGCGTCTTGCGTGCACGATATATATACATGCATATTTACTTGGCGCGCTTGATAAGACTTGATTGATGTGAGAAGGATTCTCCTCCTGTTATCAAGATTCTGCTCTTACGAGGCCTTACAATGTGCACCCACAACATGGATGGAGTGGTTATTTTCTATTTGTACCTGTGCTCGATCATTCTGGATTCAGTGAGAAACTGTTATTGCTCGACAGCATATATAGGCATTCAACGATCCAAAACTCGTGTCAACTGTGAAAAATATATTATTTGTTTCAATTACAGTCCCACAATTTCATCGTAAATTAGTTACAAACTTGCTTACGTGCAACGCTTTACAATTACCACT